AGACCGACCACTGTGTGCATATGCCCCCCCCCCCCCGAAAGAGAACGAGAGAAGCCGAAGAGCAATCTCAGGTCTCGCCGGACTACTCACCAAATGCGTGGAATGGCGGGCAGAATCTTCAGCTAGAAGGTGTAAAAGATATTCCCGCCATTTCTTTTTTGTGGCCTTTTCACATATAGTCAATGGCGCGGCAATCTTCAGCTAGAAGGTGAAAAGATATTCCCGCCATTTTATTTTTTCTGGCCTTTTCACATTTAGTGAATGGCGCGGCGAGGCCCATCATCGGCTCAGGAAAGGAGGAAAGGGCGCGGGCGGGTTGCGAGGCGGGGAACACGGACTCACCGCGTGACACGTCGGCGCTGAAAGGAAATGACACGTAGACGGCGACAGGACCAGCAGCCGTCGGCCCAGCTGAGAGGACGAGTACCGCCGGCGCGTGCACCTCAGTGAATTACCCAGGCACCTGTGTGACGTAGGGAGGCGGGAAAGGAGAATCCCTCCCCCCCCCGAAAAACAAAAAAAAAAAAAAAAAAAAAAAAAAATTATCTGTCGAATCTGGACAGGACGGCCTCCAACGAGGGAACATGCGGCAGCTGCACCCACCAGCAGGTGCGATACCTGGCTACAGCAAGTGGGCGATACTGGCCAGGGGTCACCTGGTAGCATCAGGACCGAGCGTCTTCGATGGGCCAGTCGCTGTGCCTCCTCTCCGGTCTCCTCCCCCTATGAACATCAGCAGTCTCTTGGAAGGTACTGTAACCGCCCTCCGCGCAGCCAGGGCAGAGGGGTTGTAGCGGGGATAAAGTTTTGAGTGTTGTAATGTGTTGTTTTATAGCAGGCGAGTCATGAATTTTTGCATCATCTAGATTCGAACGCGGGTCTGTATTTCAACACTTCACATATACCCACTGAGGTCCGTCTCCTAGCCGCTACCGCACCCTTCACACCTTTCCCTAAAGCCCAAAAACACCCCGCCAAACCTCAATTACAATCCATGACATTTCCCGGAAAAGAAAACCGACCCTTACAACCCAGGCAAGTGCAGCTGGCTGCGAACATGAGGCCAATGGGGTTTAAACCCAAGACTTCCTGAATGCCACTTTCATACCTTACCAGCCGACCTAGGCCGCCCGTATTTTTCTCTTAGTGCAGATTTGAAGAAGGGCCCAGAAGACAAAAAATATGGCAGGTACTTCGCGACATCCGTTAAAATTGGAACGATACAGAGAAGATTAGCATGGCCCCTGCGCTTTCAAGGATGACACGCATCAATCGAGAAATGGTCCAAATTTAAAAAAGGGATAATTTGCAATATACCCCCATAAGTTGAGATATATGCCAAAATGCCCCTAAAAGATGTGGGTAGAGCGGAATGGCCCTCTGACAAAACAAATATTTTGTGAAATACCCCTGGTGTCGGTTGGACCCCCATCTTTGCAATATACCCCTACTGGGTACCGTCCAACTTTGCAAAATGCCCCAGTACTTGACAACTTTTCCTAGGCGCTTTTGCAAAAGGCCAATGCCCAAACGGGGAGGTCCAGATAGCAAAGTTGCACACCCGCCTGACAGGGGCACAACACAAAGATTTCGGCCCAAAAGGGCATTCCGCTCTACCCACATCTTTCAAGGGCATTTTGGCATATATCTCAACTTATGGAGGTATTTTGCAAATTATCCCTCCAAAAAAA